GTGTCTGTGTGTGTATGGACTCAGCAGTCTGTGTGTGTGTGCGCATGGACTCAGCAGTCTGTGTGTGTGTGTATGGACTCAGCAGTCTGTGTGTGTGCGTGGACTCAGCAGTCTGTGTGTGTGTATGGACTCAGCAGTCTGTGTGTGTGAATGGACTCGGCAGTCTGTGTGTTTATGGACGTGTATATGGACTCAGCAGTCTTTGTGTGTGTGTGTGTGTGTATGAACTCAACAGTATGTGAGTGTGTCTGTGTGTGTATGGACTCAGCAGTCTGTATTTGTGTATGGACTCAGCTGTCTGTGTTTGTGTGTCTGTGTGTGTGTGTATGGACTCAGCAGTCTGTGTATGTGTGTGTGTGTATATGGACTCAGCAGTCTGTGTGTGTATTTGGACTCAGCAGTCTGTGTATGGACTCAGCAATCTGTATTTCTGTGTGTATGGACTCAGCAGTGTGTGTTTATGGACTCAGCAGTCAGTGTGTAAGTGTATAAATCAGCCTGTGTGCATTCAGCAATGCCTGTGTGCATTCAGGAGTCTGTGTGCATTCAGAAATCTGTGTGTGTGTGTATTCAGCAGTCTCTCAGTGTTCGTATTCAGTGTACTGTGTGTATGTACTCAGCAGTCTATCAATAATTTACATTTTTATTCCTGTGAGTTGTTGTGTAGGAAGGGCCCCAGTGCACTGCTTTGCCCGGGCCCTTAACACTGTTAAGATAGTACTGCTTGTGTGTGTCAGTGAGCTTCTATTTAGTGAGCATGTGTGTGTCAGTGAGCTTGTCTTTAGTGGGCTTGTGTGTGTCCCTGAACTTCTTTGGTACTCTCCTATATTATAGGAATAAAGGTTCCGGTACTCTCCTATACTATAGGAATAAAGGTTCCGGTACTCTCCTATATTATAGGAATAAAGGTTCCGGTACTCTCCTATACTATAGGAATAAAGGTTCCGGTACTCTCCAATACTATAGTAATAAAGGTTCTGGTACTCTCCTGTACTATAGGAATAAAGGTTCCGGTACTCTCCTGTACTCTAGGAATAAAGGTTCCGGTACTCTCCTATACTATAGGAATAAAGGTTCCGGTACTCTCCTATACTATAGGAATAAAGGTTCCGGTACTCTCCTATACTATAGGAATAAAGGTTCCGGTACTCTCCTATACTATAGGAATAAAGGTTCCGGTACTCTCCTGTACTATAGGAATAAAGGTTCCGGTACTCTCCTGTACTATTATAAAGGTTCCGGTAGAATAAAGGTTCCGGTACTCTCCTATACTATAGGAATAAAGGTTCCGGTACTCTCCTATACTATAGGAATAAAGGTTCCGGTACTCTCCTATACTATAGGAATAAAGGTTCCGGTACTCTCCTATACTATAGGAATAAAGGTTCCGGTACTCTCCTGTACTATAGGAATAAAGGTTCCGGTACTCTCCTGTACTATAGGAATAAAGGTTCCGCTACTCTCCTATATTATAGTAATAAAGGTTCTGCTACTCTCCTATACTATAGGAATAAAGGTTCTGGTACTCTCCTGTATATAGGAATAAAGGTTCCAGTACTCTCCTGTACTATAGGAATAAAGGTTCCGGTACTCTCCTATACTATAGGAATTAAGGTTCTGGTACTCTCCTGTACTATAGGAATAAAGGTTCCGGTACTCTCCTGTACTATAGGAATAAAGGTTCCGCTGCTCTCCTATAATATAGGAATAAAGGACTGCACTCTCCTGTACTATAGGAATAAAGGTTCCGCTTATTCTCCTATACTATAGGAATAAAGGATCTCGCACTCTCCTGTACTATAGAATAAAGGTTCCAGTAATTTCCTGTACTCATAGGATTAAAGGTTCCGGTACTCTCCTATACTATAGGAATAAAGGTTCCAGTACTCTCCTGTACTATAGTAATAAAGGTTCTGGTACTCTCCAATATTATAGTAGTAAAGGTTCCGGTACTCTCCTATACTATAGGAATGAAGGTTCCGGTACTCTCCTGTACTATAGGAATAAAGGTTCCGGTACTCTCCTATACTATAGGAATAAAGGTTCCGGTACTCTCCTGTACTATAGGAATAAAGGTTCCGCTACTCTCCTATATTATATCAATAAAGGTTCCGGTACTCTCCTATACTATAGGAATAAAGGTTCCGGTACTCTCCTATATTATAGGAATAAAGGTTCCAGTACTCTCCTATACTATAGGAATAAAGGTTCCGGTACTCTCCTGTACTATAGGAATAAAGGATTCCGGTACTCTCCTGTACTATAGGAATAAAGGTTCCGCTATTCTCCTATACTATAGGAATAAAGGATTCCGGTACTCTCCTGTACTATAGGAATAAAGGTTCCAGTACTCTCCTGTACTATAGGATTAAAGGTTCCGGTACTCTCCTATACTATAGGAATAAAGGTTCCGGTACTCTCCTGTACTGTAGGAATAAAGGATTCCGGTACTCTCCTGTACTATAGGAATAAAGGTTCCGCTACTCTCCTATACTATAGGAATAAAGGATTCCGGTACTCTCCTGTACTATAGGAATAAAGGTTCCGCTACTCTCCTATATTATAGGAATAAAGGTACCGGTACTCTCCTGTACTATAGGATTAAAGGTTCCGGTACTCTCCTATACTATAGGAATAAAGGTTCCACTACTCTCCTGTACTATAGGAATAAAGGTTCCACTACTCTCCTGTACTATAGGAATAAAGGTTCCGGTACTCTCTTATACTATAGCAATAAAGGTTCCGGTACTCTCCTATACTATAGGAATAAAGGTTCCGGTACTCTCCTGTACTATAGGAATAAAGGTCCGGTACTCTCCTGTACTATAGGAATAAAGGTTCCGGTACTCTCCTATACTATAGGAATAAAGGTTCCGGTACTCTCCTATACTATAGGAATAAAGGTTCCAGTACTCTCCTATACTATAGGAATAAAGGTTCCGGTACTCTCCTGTACTATAGGAATAAAGGATTCCGGTACTCTCCTGTACTATAGGAATAAAGGTTCCGGTACTCTCCTATACTATAGGAATAAAGGTTCCGGTACTCTCCTATACTATAGGAATAAAGGTTCCGGTACTCTCCTGTACTAGAGGAATAAAGGTTCCGCTACTTTCCTATACTATAGGAATAAAGGTTCCGGTACTCTCCTATACTATAGGAATAAAGGTTCCGGTACTCTCCTATACTATATGAATAAAGGTTCCAGTACTCTCCTATACTATAGGAATAAAGGTTCCGGTACTCTCCTATACTATAGGAATAAAGGTTCCAGTACTCTCTTATACTATAGGAATAAAGGATTCCGGTACTCTCCTGTACTATAGGAATAAAGGTTCCGCTGCTCTCCTATAATATAGGAATAAAGGTTCCGGTACTCTCCTATACTATAGGAATAAAGGTTCCGGTACTCTCCTATACTATAGGAATAAAGGTTCCAGTACTCTCCTGTACTATAGGAATAAAGGTTCCGATACTCTCCTGTACTATAGGAATAAAGGTACCGGTACTCTCCTATACTATAGGAATAAAGGTTCCGGTACTCTCCTATACTATAGGAATAAAGGTTCCGGTACTCTCCTATACTATAGGAATAAAGGTTCCGGTACTCTCCTATACTATAGGAATAAAGGTTCCGGTACTCTCCTATACTATAGGAATAAAGGTTCCGGTACTCTCCTGTACTATAGGAATAAAGGTTCCGCTACTCTCCTGTACTATAGGAATAAATGTTCCGGTACTCTCCTATACTATATGAATAAAGGTTCCAGTACTCTCCTATACTATAGGAATAAAGGTTCCGGTACTCTCCTATACTATAGGAATAAAGGTTCCAGTACTCTCCTATACTATATGAATAAAGGTTCCAGTACTCTCTTATACTATAGGAATAAAGGATTCCGGTACTCTCCTGTACTATAGGAATAAAGGTTCCGCTGCTCTCCTATAATATAGGAATAAAGGTTCCGGTACTCTCCTATACTATAGGAATAAAGGATTCCGGTACTCTCCTGTACTATAGGAATAAAGGTTCCGCTGCTCTCCTATAATATAGGAATAAAGGTTCCGGTACTCTCCTATACTATAGGAATAAAGGTTCCGGTACTCTCCTATACTATAGGAATAAAGGTTCCAGTACTCTCCTGTACTATAGGAATAAAGGTTCCGGTACTCTCCTATACTATAGGAATTAAGGTTCCGGTACTCTCCTATACTATAGGAATAAAGGTTCCGGTACTCTCCTGTACTATAGGAATAAAGGTTCCGGTACTCTCCTGTACTATAGGAATAAAGGTTCCGGTACTCTCCTGTACTATAGGAATAAAGGTTCCGCTACTCTCCTATACTATAGGAATAAAGGTTCCGCTACTCTCCTATACTATAGGAATAAAGGTTCCGCTACTCTCCTATATTATAGGAATAAAGGTTCCGCTACTCTCCTATACTTTTTAATGTGACATTAGTGACTTTTCTTACCGTGTACATAATGCATACCTCACAGGTTGCTGGTTTGGTGGGACCATCCTGATCTCGAGCCCCTGTCCTGCTATCACAGGTTTGTTCCGTGGTGTCCCATATTGCGGGACAGCAGGGAGATGTCCCTAATCAATGCACGCTATATAAACTCAGATTTGTCACTGCCCTGAATGAGTGGGGTCACTTTAGTATTTTGCTGCAGCTGACGCCCAGGTAATTATTTCTGGCAATAATCTTTTAATATCACAATTCTCTCATTGTTATCCATACCCCCAGCACTTTGACTATTAACAAGTACCTTAAACTATATCTCATATATTTAATGTATAGGTAGCCTTGCTCCTAGGGCAGTCCCAGGGGTTATAGGGTAATAATACATGTTAAGTAACATTGCTGGGGTAGGGTGTGTCAGCACTGAGTGAAATCACTGCATAAATTTGTTAATTCCAGGGTTTGTGTAAGATTAGCCAGCAGCCAGAGCTGTCACATGGACAGGTGGCCCAAGGACTACATTTCCCGTGATGCTCCGCGCCGAGCAGAGCGGATATCCGGCGCAGTCTCTGGCTGACGTGTCCTTGCTGGCGGGTTTAGAGTAGCTGTTGGAGCTGGGACAGTCAGTGAGCTGGATACCGGCACGGTGAGAGAGGGGGAGCAGGGCTCTGCTATGGAGGGGGGGTCTCTCATGGGGGAATGGCACTGATATATAGGGACAGAGAGCCATAGGGGACACTTATTGGTGTTACACCTCAGCCAGGGCTCATACAGCACACAGCCAGGGCCTGCAGGAGCTCTGTTACAATGTATCTATTAATGGAATCCTATAATGTGTAGTCCCTGTCCCTGCTCTCTGTATTCTGTGGGTGGAGGGGTCAGCCATTGTTCCATTCTGTGACAGACAGCCCAGGGGTTCTCCAGTTTAGATGTATAACATGTCACTCAGATACTGCTTTATAAAGGAGTTTGTCATGTGGAGATATTGAGATCTCTTTATAAGGCAGTCATGGTATCTCCTCTGTGGGGTATAGGACCCTTTCATCTCTAAGTGACTGTATGAGTAAAAACAAAAAAATGGTTGGGGTGTGTGTGTATATATCTTAATTTTTTTTACTTAAATTGTATTTAATTTTTTTTAAATAGGTCATCTTTTTGGGTCCCCCCCAAGATGAACAGCCAATAGTCACTGGTACACTTGTGCTTTACACACACCACCTGGGGGTGATTCAAACCTAAGAGCTGATAACATTGCCTGTCCAAGAGTGACACATCAGCGTTACATTGGAATGATGATGCTGCAGAGCAGGGGGTCCCTATTTAAAATCGCAGCTTTTGGGATTGAATTATTTATATATTTATATTTTTTTTTTATGGAGGCCTGGATCCTTGGTTGGACACCCTGTAAACTATCAAGAATTCTTAGATGCTTTATTAAGTGTTTTTTTTTTTTTTTCACCCCCCCTCCCCCAAACACACACCTTCTTATTTGAGGAATGCTAACCTTTTAAGCAGACATGTAATAACATTCTGACCATGTTTATTTGTGATTTCTTGCAGATGAGGGTGTTGTTTCTTGCGTTTTTGGGTCTCCTGGTAGTTGTCCAGTGTGAAGAAGGAGCCAGGTTACTGGCTTCAAAGTCTCTTCTCAATAGATATGCTGTAGAAGGGAAAGACTTGACTCTGCAATATAATATCTACAATGTTGGATCCAGGTATGGACAATTTATTATTCATAACAACTGCAATCCTAACACAGAAAATTGTCAGATTTATACATTTTATGTGCTAATCATGTGGCGAACATGAAGCAATAATGTAGTGACCTTGTTATGATTCCTTTAGATCTTACTCTAGGAGACGGTTCACCAAACTCTGGTCCTCCCAGATGTTGCTGAACTACAACACCCATGATTCTTTGATGGAAGTAAATTGCTAGAGAATCATGGGAGTCATAGATAAGCAACATCTGGAGGAGCACAGTTTGGAGAAGCCTGCTCTAGGATAAAGATTGGTAACGTTGGCATCCTGGATGTGTATTTGAAATACTACACTACGCTCAACCAGCTTTTATATTGACTGCATCATGGGTAATATAGTTTAGACCAAGCATAAGCAACCTTCGGCACTGCAGATGTTTTGAACTACACCTCTCATGCCAGCATTATGGGTGTAAGAGCATTATGGGGATGTAGTTCACTACATCTGGAGTGCTGAAGGTTGCCTACCACTGGTTTAGACACTGCAGGGTTATTTGCTAAAGTAAGAATTTAAAGTGATTTGTAAGGCCAGGGTACTTGATCAGGAGCAAATTGGCTATTTTGGCCCAAAATTTTAAAGTCACTTTCAGTTATTACTGTAGTGAATAACTCTGCTGATGTGACAAGAGGCGTGTTCTAGAAGGTTATAGATTGCTAGATAGTACACATGCAAAGCTGTCAAAGTTCTAGTGACAGTAGAATTTAGCAGGATTATTTGAAGGTGCACTAGCGTTGCGAATACAAAAAGTTTACTTACCTTTCAGGACTGCTTACCTTTACTCTCCCAGCAATGTCACGGGTAGACAGGGTCACTTTTGTGATGGGCTAGTCCAGTACTCCTCGTAGCAGTGTGGACCTAATGCGCATGCACAAGGGAGTGCAGAGCGTGCATTCAAACATTTCCGTGGGAAAGCATTGAATTAATGTTAGTTGTCGAGGATTCAAGTTAAATTCGCTCTGCTTCCAGTTTGACTCTTTTGTTCTAAAATTTGAATTTCTCTTTGAATTCGTTACAATTTTCACATTTATAAATTAACCCTGTGTGCTAGAAGCATTAGCATTAGGGCTTGGTATCTTCAGACTCAAATGTTAATGCTACCGTAATATCCCACTACATATTCTCCGTACAGCGATACATTCTTACAACTGTTCTATATCACCTGTGTTGTTTGTTTGTGGGGTTTTTTTTGTTTTGTTTTTCCTCTTTTATACACTGGACACTGCATGCCATTAAAGGAACAACATGAGCTCATAGGAATAACAGAGGGCAGGAGTGGTACAGGCTTTTCTTGTCTTCTGGGTTTGAACCATTTTTTCTATCAGTTTAATACCAAATTTGGTCCCCTGGCACCCGACACAACTTTCTCCTTGATCCTGTCGTATGAGGAATGTTTGTTGGGTGGCCAGTGATGGGACAAGATAAGCAAAATAATGCTCTCAGCCTAACACCCCCTTCTTTCTGTTTGCAGTGCTGCCTTAGAAGTGGAGCTGTCAGATGATTCCTTCCCTCCTGAAGACTTTGGAATAGTGTCCGGTATGCTGAATGTTAAATGGGACAGAATTGCACCGTATCTTTTTTTAAACTTTTTTTTTTGTGTGTGTGTGTTTGTCTCTTGGAATGACAGGCATTTTCAGTGACTTTATGTAAAAGCATTATGTAGCACTGTAAGAGAACTTTAAATAGACAAATATGGAAAAGTTGTGATGTGTGTGTGTGTGTGTGTGTGTGTGTGTGTGTGTGTGTGTGTGTGTGCACTATACTAGGTTGCGCTTAACAGTAATAAATGTGTACTAGTCAAACAATACACCTACACCCCATAAACAAAAGGTCCAAATTGTTGTTGTGCCTTGTTCTTTTAACTAGTCTAAAGTAGGTCCTTATGGGAAGTAACTTCTTACAAGATGGTCATTTTAGTAATGGCAGTTTTCCTCAATAAGTCAACCTATGGAATAGGTAACGAAAACAAACACAAAATATATCTCTGATGGTGTAGTAATTTCAATATGTGTCGTATTTGTATAAAGAGAAACCGAAATGCACTCCGAAATAAAGAACTATCAACTAACTTAGGGCCAACAGCATGTAGTGATCCATTCCTCGCTTAGGAAATGGTAGAAATGTACACATTCAGACTAGGCCGGGTGGAGAGGTGTGATCTTGACCATAGATTGATGAGGCATCTTATCAGTGATATGTGGAGATAAGTACACAAATGAAATGGCGCTAGTGTAGTATTTTAATATGTGATGGTCTAGGTGAAAAGTCACACACTTCCAGTCAGTATGAAGAAACCAGCATGGATCGGTATATTACTTTGATGGGAAAACTAGTGTGAAGTGTCCCTTTATGTTGTAACTGTACCTGAAGTGCACATAGTGCTCTTAGTATCTGAATGCTGTAGCTTGGCATTTGAAAGTATAATTCTGGCTATTGGGTCCTTAACCAGCATTTATGCAGTGCAAGCAACGTATCCCACACCGTGGTACTGAGACCACTGAAAGCTGGCTATTTTAACTTCACATCTGCCACAGTCGCCTACCTGGCCCAGGAAGGAGCACAAGTAGTGGTGAGTAATCTGATATACATTGGAAATATCTGACATTTTTTTGATTAGGCATTCTGTTTAAAAGGGCAAACACACAGAAGTGACCTGGCATTCTATGGTAAAAGAAACAGAATATTCTGACTGCAGTTCGGCAACGTCTTTGCATTAGCTGCCAAGCTCTGGGTGTTTATAGGCCAATCATCCTGGGCTAACCCACCCCAGTTATTTTTGCTATTCATGTTATCCAAGCTGTGTGTGTTCCCCCTCCCTCTTCCACCCATGTCCACATATTAACCGGTCACTACAACCACCATAGGCACGTCTGCTTTTTGAAATAGTGATGGTGGTAGAAGCCTGGATGTGCAGTGTTTCTGGTTGAAATACTACATCTCCAGTGTTATTGATAATTGTGTCACGGGGACTTCTTGAGGGGGAGGAATCAAATTAATAATCATAATGCCAATAGAGTATTAATGTGTTCTACACAAAAAATAGTGGTTTTTTTTTTTTCCCCTCATCTGCTTCTGATTTAGTGACTCCCTAAATTAGTCATCTGTTGTATATGACCTGTTCTCAATCTGGTTGTTCTGTCCAATTTTACGGTGTATAAACAGTGCTTTTTGTTACAGGTTGGTTACACCAGTGCGCCTGGACAAGGAGGCATACTGGCCCAGCGTGAATTTGACCGACGATTCTCTCCTCACTTTGTAAGTTTATATGCTTGATCTTGAGTCTCCATTCAGAATCCAAAAAGCTGGTTGGTGGAGGGGGGAGGATAGCAATTTAGGGTCCTTTTGCTGAGTTGCCACTTCTGGCAAGCAACAATATATCTCTGGTTCTGTACTCAAGTTTGAGAGAATGAAATTAAGCTTTATGCAATAGACGAGCATTCTTCTTGCAAATGTACAGTAACATGCCATGGATATAATTTTGATTTTAAGAATGGTCAGAAGTATGAACACTGTTATTGCAAACTAGTGGTAAGGCTAACCATATGTAAGTTAGTCTTAAGGTATCTGACTTGGTCCAGGCATTATTAGTATTAGTAGTAATATTCATATAAGGCTAGCATATTCCATAGCGCTTTACCCTATTAGAGGTAGAGATTTAACAATAAATGAGACAATTGCAAAAACTTACGGTAACAATAGGTTGAAAAGGACCCTGCTCAAATGAGCTTACAGTCTAGAGGACGTGGGGTATAAAACACAATAGGACAGGAAATAACATTATCTTGAGTTCCTATCAAATCATTGACATGAGACTCTCATATCACAAAGTGATGTCTAGGTATTGATTTTAAACATGGGTAACTTACAGAGTTGCCTTTACTGCTGAAACCTTTTAGCAGTGAAACCCATTTTTAGAATTAGGTTAATATTTAATAAATTGGAGGGCCGTATTTAGTTTGTATCCTACAGTGATACGTTTTGGACCATTTTGACATCTCCAATAAACAAGTCCTTTTTCTTTTCCCTTCCTTTACCGCTTTCTCAGCTGGACTGGGCAGCATTTGGGGTGATGACACTTCCATCCATCGGAATCCCCCTCTTGCTGTGGTACTCCAGCAAAAGAAAGTACGACACCCCAAAACCGAAAAAGAACTGAAGAAAATCCATGAATGAAGAGCTCTGTCTGACCTACATGAACAGCTGCCTACCATGTGGGGTGTCTGCCTCGTTCCACTGAACAATAATCTGGGGACTCTCATCCACCTCCTTGGACTGTTTCTCTGGGATTATGCGGCAGCCAAAACTAAACTGAAAACCAAACCATCAATGTGTTGTCCTGGAAGCACTGGGCAGTCACTGTGATCTCAATATCCTGAAACAGACTTTCTAAAAGGCGAACAATACCAGATTGGCATCGTTCTAAATGATGGAGAGGGCATTTTTTAACATGCATCTCTTACTGAATTTGGATATGTGGAGGCATTCTGCATATTTATTTTAGCCCAGTATCCACTAGCTGTGCAAAGTCCTAACCGTGCTGCTATGACTTTATCTTAAAGGCCACTTGAAAACGCAGCAATCTATTTTGACATAATTTTAGTTCCAAAATATAAATTCTCCTAAAATGTAGGCTTTATTTTTCCATTTTCCTAATGGAATGATTTTCCCGTCCCCCTTGCATTCATGAGTAATCTTTATTTTTCTCCGTTAAGTTAGTGATATGATTTCCATTCAGACTTATTGCCTCCTGTACAACTGCGTGGGTGAATGGCCCAAATAAAGGGACAGGTTTTCTAATAAAATCCAACTGGAACGAACATTGCGAGTGTTGTCTTCATTGTGCACATTTTACAGACTACTTTAGATTTGGGGTTCTTTGCTGTGATCTCCTTGCAATTCTACTTTCTTTTCGCCGAATAGTTTTCCTGTTTTATTTGTGTGCAGCTGCTTATTTGCCAGTGCTAGGCTTGGTTTAATCATGGATTCTATGAAGAAAAAGTTCACATGGAAAAACCCCACTGTTACAACGGCTCAATGGTCACACGGAATAAAATGCACATATTGTAATATAGAGTTAGACATATTATCTCATTAAACTATACTTTAAACTGTGCCTATTTTGGCAGTAATTTTGCAGTTCACTTCTCAATTCTCTCTTTCACGAATAAAGCCCAAAGTCACTCCGTTTCATCACACCCCCTCAGACATGGGAGCATACACAGCAACACTAGTGCTACTCAAAGACATTAATCAAATGCTGCTGACCGGTTCATCTAGAATGGAAGGTATTAAAATAATGACCAATATCAGTTATCTATTATGCCTGCCTAGTCCTATATGTTATTAGGTAGATTGGATGTTACTGAATTTCTTTCTAACGCTGCCTTTCATGTATTACTCAAGTGTGCTGATTCTGTCTCCACAAGCATACTCCTATTGGCCAAATGATCGGTTCTGCATTGCTAAATCTAACGCAAGTCTGTCGGCCACAGAATGTGATCACTGGCGTTACTCACTGTAGTTCATTCGTTATCGACAAATGTTCTAGAATCAGAAAAAGAGTTGGTTACTCAGTGCTGCTTAGCTGCCTGATTGTGCTTTGTTTAACTTTGCACAAATGTCATTTTATACCTCAATAAAAAAATTTGCCAAAAAAAAATAAATTACCTGTAGCTTTGTGGGGAGGAGACAGTAAATGCTATTCACTGGCAGTGGGGATGGAAACCTGAATAAAGGGGAGGGAATATAAAGCAGCCAGCCAACATAAGGCAAAGCAGGTCAGAGGGAATGGGAGAGAAACCAAAAGAAAAAAAAATGTGATTTAAAGGGACACCCAGACCACTTCTGCCTGTTGGAGTGGTCTGGGTGCCAACTCCCCCTACCCTTAACCCTGCAAGTGTAATTATTGCAGTTTTCATAAACTGCAATATTTTTCTTTGCAGGGTTAACTTCTCCTCTAGTGGCTGCCACTAGAGGGCACTTCTGGCTTATAGCACACGAAAAGCGTTGCTGAAATCCCCAGAGGAAAGCTTTCCAGTGGGGAGGTCTAATGGAAGGCCGCGCATGCGCCTTAGATGTCCCCCGGCGGGGAAGGAGCAGGGGCAGACCCTGAACCAGCGCCGAGGGACATCGGCGCTGGATACAGGTAAGTCACTGAAGGGGTTTTAACACCCTCAGCAACTTGGGATGGGGGGGGGGAGGGAGAGGGGACCTGCAATGCCAGGAAAACTGTGTGTTTTCCTGTCACTGGAGAGTCCCTTTAAGAGAAGCTGGCTAATAGGGTGAAGGAAAAATCATGGTAAGGGGACCTGGGCTATAACCTGTTTCACAAGTGTAACTGTGGATTAAAAGTTTATTGATAAAATACAGTTCACTCTTATTTTCTCTACTTTTCCTTACATATACGCTTGAGCGCATTAAAGCCCTTGTCATACACAGCTTTTTTTTTTTTTTGTTTAGCATTGAATTAGTATACTTATAATACAGCTTATTTATTATTTAAGTATCATCCATAAAATCGCAACACAAATTGTTGCATATGGATATGAATTGTTTTAACTCCTTAAGGACTGCGGGCGTGCAATGCTGTCCTTGGGGACCTGGATTTAAACACTGGAGGGTGGCATAGCACGTCCTCGCCGTCCTATTTACTTACCAGCTCTCAGGCGATTTGCCAGGGGGACTTACCTGGCAACCAGGGAGTGCCTGCAATGACCGGTAGTCCCCCTGCTGCCTGAAATAAAATAAAATAATAGTTAAAAACTGTTTGAAATAAAACTAATATATATATGTGCACGGTCTAAGTATTTTAATATATATTATCAAAATACACGTAGAATGATATTGATTAAATATATAATTATATTTATGTATAAAATATGTAAATACGTTAAAATAAAAAATGTGTAATTTCGTTCTAACTATTTAGATATCAATATATTGAAATCTAAATACACGAACGAAATAATATCTATATATCTATCTGTACAGAAGTGTGTGTGTGTGTGTGTGTATATATACCTATGAAAAAGACCTGGAGAGGTCGAAACGTTGGTTTTCGATTTTTTTTTTTTTCTTTAGCACATGATTTAAAATAAAAACGGATTTTTTGCACAAGTCCTGAGAGTGCACTTTGGATTATTCTTCAGTTATATATATATATATATATATATATATATATATATATATATACACACTGTATTTTCTGGCGTATAAGATGACTTTTTAACCCTGGAAAATCTTCTCCAAAGTCGGGGGTCGTCTTATATGCCGGGTATAGGGCCCCCATCGCCGACCCTTCTAATGCTGCAGCCGCCTGATCGCTCTAGTGAGAGCGCTCAGACGGCTCCTGCACTGCCTCTCTTCTCACCTCCCCTTCCCTGTGCAGAGTGGGTGGCCGAGCTCCTCTTCATTATTATTATTATTATTTTATTATTTATATAGCGCCAACAAATTCCGTAGCGCTGTACAATGGGTATCCTGTCAGTCCGGCCGGTTACCGCGCGGTACAGGAGATTCAGTTACCTGTTCCCGGCCGGACTGAAAGGAAGTGAGCACTGAGTGACTGACAGGACGAAGTGGAGCTCGGCCACCCACTCTGCACAGGGAAGGGGAGGTGAGAAGAATGTAGGGAGGATTGTGGGGGGGGGAGTAAAAAGAATGGAGGGGAGAGTAAAAAAAATGAATGGGGGAGTAAAAAGAATATATCGCAATTAGCCTCCTGTGTGCTAGACCAGCAGGCATGGATTATATGCCCAAACAGCCTGGCACGTACCTGGGCTTTAAATGCTATTTCAGATTATCATTATTTAATGTCTTGCTGTGTAGCTCTGTCTGCTCACTGTACATCATGGCTAATTTTTATTTGGTGTGCATTGGAAGAGGGGTAGTCTTATACAGCGAGTATATCCCAAACTCTATATTTTAACTGGAAAAGTTGAGGGTCGTCTTATACGCTGGAAAATACGGTGTGTGTATATATGTATATATATATATATATATATATAGAGATTCTACATATATTTATTTAATATTTTTACATAATTAGGTCATTTTATTAATTACAATTTGCAGGACCTGCCTGACAACCCAGGCTGAAGTCCAGGGAATTAAATTTTCTAGCACTATATTTAACCTTGTAACTTTCCAAGACACCATAAAACCTGTACATGGGGGGTATTGTTTTACTCGGAAGACTTTGCTGAACACAAAAATTAGTGTTTCAAAACACTATGACGACATCGTCAGTGGAAGGGAAATGTTTTGCATTTTTACACACACATGGCACTTACACTGACGATATTGTTGTGATACATTTTACTGTTTTGAAACACTAATATTTGTGCTCAACGACATCTCCCGAGTATAACAGTACCCCTCATGTACAGGTTTTCTGGTGTTTGTGACCAAGTGGTTACTAAAAAAAGACTGGACATACCCCATTTGCAATACCTTGGGTTGTCTACTATTGCAAATGGTATGCCATAATGAGGGTAATTCTCATTCATGGGCTACCATACTGTCTCAAAGGCAACGTAACCAATCTGGCGAATTTCAGTGTGAGAAAACTGAAAAATGTAACATGCTATATTTGACCCTGTAACTTCCCAAAACACCATAAAACCTGTACATAGGGGGTACTGTTTTAAACCTGATACATCGGTGAATACAAATATGTGTATTTTATTGCAATAAAAGCAAACAGTATTATGACATTCACAGTTAAAATGTCATGTAGAACTAAAAAATAACAATTTCTTATTTTCTCCCATTTTTTTATTTTTTATATTTTATTCATAAATAGTTTCATAGCTAAATAAATAATGTTAAACGAAAGCCCTGTTTCCCCTGAATAAAACTATATATAATAAGTGTGGGTGCACTTAATATGAAAGAATATTAATTGTTTGGATGGGGTAGGTAACTGTTCTTCTGGCATTTAAATGTATAAAGTGTGTCTAATCACATGTTTGTGGCATGATTTGTTTGGGTACGGAGGATTGTTCGCATACTGAGACATTTTTTACTCAACATTTGTGATCGACTTCCGAATTGTTCGAGAAAGGGACTGCTAGCGTTCCGAGGTTCCACTGTGTATATATATATCTCGACGGTACTTTAAACTGTGCGTACATTTTCACCTTGACTTGCAAATTACTATATGTGCATCTTATTCTGTGTGGGCATTTTTTGTATGCACATTTATTTCAGTGGGGGGTTTTCTGTGGACAATTTACATGTGGCTTTTAAAAAAATAAAATAAAAAAATTCTCATCACCATTTTAATGCATCCTGTAACAATTTTAAGCTTGTGTGTTTTTCTGTTTTTCATGATTCTTGCTCCGAATCCCTAGTTTGTGAAGGATTGAAGAAGCTGTATTGACTGTGAATTTAGACTAGCGATGGTCACTGCTACAGATGTTTGGGGACAATGTTTGTAATTTTGAAGCATGAATAATATGCTGCTTAAACTTCAGTCTCCAAGGTGAGTCTTTAATGATGTTTGGGGTCAGATGGTCTAGATTCTGTTCTATTTCTCTCTCCAAATGCAAAATGTTTTCAGTAAGGGGATGGGGCAAGGGCTTCACTAGCAGGATTCATAGTGTTCCCAAAACACAGATGTGGTACCCAGTCCCCATGGAAATCGCACCTGGGACAGATGAATTCCACAAAGGTAGCCTACCCTAAACGAGTGGAGATTTTATTTTTTTTAATTTTTTTTTTTATTGTTTCAAATGTAGGTTTGTGTGTTAAAAAAAAACAAAATATATATATATATATATATATATATATATATATATATATATATATATATATATATATATATATATATATATATATATATATATATATTTGGTTGCCATGTCTCCGCCTTGTGGTTTCCTTTTGGAACTGCAGTCTCAGGTTACTGAACTTCCCCTGCACTGATATTTATATGCTGCTACCAATGTTTCTTGTTTAATTTATCCTATTGGCTTTTATTTTTCTTTATTTCACTAATCCATGCATGATGGGTTATTGACGATAAAAATTTTGTTTGTATGGCCTCATTATCTGAGGTGAAAATTTGTATTTTATTATTTACGTAGCGCCAGCAAATTTTGTAGCGCTGTACAATAAATTCAATTTTTACTAGACCTGCTTTTTTTTTTTTTTTTACCAAAATTTGCAGTTTTTCTCATTTCTCCATAATCCTTGATTTTGTGAATAAGCCTGTTACGGTTACCTCCGGGCTAGCTGGAGGTTGGACCGCTTGGATATCCTGGTTCCCGATGTTGGAGAGGTAGAACGTCGCTCCTATCAGCATCCACAAGATTCTCCTGAAAGTGTAGAATAATCCCAATAGCTATGGCACAGGTAGGATACACTGTTCCCTACAAAACGAGTCGAGGCTGCGAATTGAGGGTAACACGAACTGAATTTCACTCAGGCAGGACAATTTATGCAACTTTCAGACCAAGGGACAGCCCCTTCTGGACCTGATGGTACACAGAACAATGACATAGTTTATCCAATAGAAACACAGTGCAACATTTGAAAATGTCCCCGCCTAGCTTGGAGATAATTGGCCTCAACGGTTACAATGACCTAATTATCTCCAAGCACATGGAAATACCACATTT